TTTCCTGTGTTACCCAAGAGTATAACATATGCCGTTGTGGACCATCTCCTTATTAAAACTTACAGTAAAACTGTTTTCTTATTTATTTTGTCCAATACATACTACTGGATAAGGAGACAGATGCAGATCATATGGCCAGATGGCCATATTGGCAATATAAGTAGGCGTTGCATTTCAATGTTTCAGTTTCGTTTCAGAGACTTAGTGAACGTAATAAAGAATAGAAATACATGTATACAGAAACAAATAAACTTGTATATTCGCAACTGAATATCGCACCTCCATCAGCTTTAAGTGCTTTCCGGAATTTTGCTGGGAAAAATCATAAATGAACTTGGAAAAGGTTTGTGGTTATTCTGCGTCCAAATTTCAAACCCAAATGGATAGCCCTGGCCCAAACAACGCTTGCTTCGACAGGTTGATGATTTACACCTGCATTTTTCCACACAGTGAGGTTTTTCAGTGTTTTACTGTTTAATTAGGCAGAGAGTTTACATTGTAATACATATCTCCTTATAAATTTAACGTCGGGTCCGTGCTATATTATTTTTCATGCAGTTTTCTGAACACATGATCGTGTCCTACATTACGGCATTTTTCAAATTTAATGATTACCGTTTAAGCACATGGTTGTGCCCTCTGGGATTTTATACTAAATACAAATTTGCACAAAAAACTGCAATGTTACAGTTCTTTCGGAACCCACATATGATTATGGATAAATTTTCTGTTTGAAGTGTTCTCTCTTTTGGGGGGGGTCGTGACTCGGTGTCAGTACATCGAGTTTTTAATGACCGAAGTTCGGGGTCTCAGTTTGAACAGAAAATCCCTAAAATCATCAGAATCTTCCTGAGGCGATAAAGCAACGGGTTTTGGAAAAACGGTGGAAAATTTTTAAATCTTTAACAGAAGGGCACTTTTAATGGTGATTAGCTGGAAAGGGGTTACAAAGTAGTTTCCCTATAATTTTAGAGGGGAAAATCTGTTTCAAAGGGAAAATTCATGTCAGCCCTTTGTAGGCAGCTGGAAAGGGGTTACAAAGTAGTTTCCCTATAATTTTAGAGGGGAAAATCTGTTTCAAAGGGAAAATTCATGTCAGCCCTTTGTAGGCTTTTATTTGAACCTTGACTATGGAGCTAAAGACGAATTCTGAACGGGATTACCTTTTATGGCCAGAATAACAGGGTAATATATTCCTGACGGTTCACACAAGAGGTGTTTTGAGGCTCGGAAAGGGGAACTCAGCAGCCGATGTTGCAATGTGTGCTTGAAAAATGGCACAACATATGCATGGCCCGGATGTTACTGCGGCTTTAATAGGATTTCAAGTTCCGTTTTCAGTTCAAAGTCCACAATCTAAGGCCACATGCTTGTCACGGACCGTACCGGGATGGCTATAATTTCTCTCACCCATATCTCGCCAACCGTTCAAAAATGAATAATTCCATTCCAATTAACGGCGTGTATGTACTGATGGGTTTGTCCTTCACAGAAAGGTAATGAAACGCCTACTCGAGCCGGAAAAATCGAAGGGGTGCATCACGGAGCAAAATGCAACGCTTTCTATTTTATCGCCCCAATTAACTTCGCAAATTTCAGGCCAATTTTCAAATTAATACATCCAACCTCAGTAGCGGGCTGGTTAAATTTCAAACTTGGATAAAATTTAATTGTGGTTCAACCCTCACTCAAAGCGAGCAGTGCATTTTGTACAGGATGAAAACATATTTCTGTAAAACAGTCTAAATAGCAGAGAATTTTTGAAATATAAAAAATATAAAAAAATCGGTCATAATTTTTGTGGCACCTACCTTACCGGCCAGTAGTCCACACAAACCAATGACAAAGAGCACATTGAACACGGCTGAACCCAAGATTGTTCCAATCCCAATGTCTCCTTTACTTATAAATACACCTGTGTCGATAAATGCCAAAAAACAGTAATATTTTTCACTTTTAAAGAAGTTAGATTGTTTTACACATCTTAAAACCTTTGAAAAAGAAACAGGCACATTTCATAAACAGATACCATGTGTCTGAATTGATAATTGTTACAAATGCACAGAATTGTTGGTACATTTCTTTAATAAAAGTGCAAGCCTTGCGCTCATTAACAACCAAACGTAGATCAAAGGCCCAGTTCAAAAGCAAGGTGTTGGAGCTGAAACTCTTTACTCCACAGACCCGTAAACCGAGTAGACCCTGTCAGTTATTCGATAACGTTCGCAAGTAGTGGAGAATGTTGACAGGTGCTTTGGCAAATTTGGCTCCTTGCATTAGGTCTCCAATATAACATTGCACAATGTTTGACGAAACAAAATCAAATTGAAAACTAGATTAACTACTGAACTGCAACAACCTCAAAGTAAGAATCAACGACACATTTTTAAGCAAAAAGCAATATTCTCAGTTTCGTATTGCCGATCCTGTTAAAAATATTCCTACAAGAAATATTCATTAAAGCAAAAGCAACCAAAATAGCAACAAAACAACTTTGATAACATTTACATCAAGAATTGCAATAGGCATTGTTTTACACCCTGAAAAATTCAGAATGACCCTTTGTTATTTACCTACTATCGAGGTAAAAAGTTCTGGGGCGGAACCGCCTATCGCCATGAAGGTTGCTCCAGCGACGTCCTCCGATAAATGAAGCACTGCAAGAGAAAGGTGAGACAGGGAATCGTCAAGATGGTGAATGAACATTTATTGGCTTTACGAAGGTATAGGAATTGAACAAAGCCTTAAAATAAAAGGTCAGGCACCGAGCTTCCGGGACCGCTTATGGGGATTCTTACGGGGTCGTCCTAACACGTTTGGTAATTTTTGGAAGAACGACTCGAAACTTAAACCACCCTAGGAAACACTCGACTCGACTATGACACACTATCACGGAACAGGTTTTTGGCTGTGCATTCCGGGTGAAGTTATGGAAAAGCTAGGGCTTGTGGATGGCTGGCGTTAATTGGAGACTAGTGGAAACGTTCTCAAGTAGCTCTTTAGTCTTAACTGAAATTCTTCTGTGTCAACTTTGTTTCACTATCATAATTATTCTACAATTTATACAGTTCTCAAAAGTTGGTGCAAGGTCTCTGCGAATGATTTTTGTATCAATCTATAGAAACAATTACACCCATTTACCAAAAACTTTAAATACACACAGCTGGGTGCAGTTCGATCGTTCAAATGTACCTGAGCATATAATTTCCAAGGCAGGCATGAAATAGCTGTCACACACAATGGCTAAGGCGCCGAACATGTAGACCACCGCCACAACGTCAACAGCCAGGGCTCCGTGGCGAAGCGTGTCCATGCTGAACACTCCCTGCGGGAAGTTCTCCACCGAGGGCCGGGAGCAGTTGGACTGCATCTCCGCTGAGTGTTCCGTGGACACTATGAAGCCAGGGTCAAAGAAAAAGACAAGAAAATCAGACGTTCGGGAACAATCAGACTTACAGACAAATGCCACGTAGTTCACCATATAAAGATATAAGGGGCCTTTGATTTGGAAATGATATATTTGACACGATTGTTTCCTTACAGTGATAGACAAAAGCTTTACAGAGTCCACGCGACGATTCTTTTTCTTAGACGCACTTTTGTGCAACCTTACACTCTTCTAAATTGTACAGAACTATTTCAAATCCTTTAGGGCTGAACTGCATCGAAGGTCGTGCGATTTTAAACATTGAAACTTGTCCATGCTTTTCCGGTCAACTGAGGGCGCCGTTGCTGTGATGTCAGTCAAAAAAAAAACCAACAACACTTCACCCATTCTAAGCATTTTTGAAAAAGTGTTTTCCTTTCCTGAATACTTCCACCACATACTTCCACAGCAATGAATCATCAATGAGAGGGAAATTTTGTCGAGAAAAATATATTTAAAAAATTTCTAGCAGTTAAGCAAATCAAGGTTTTGCTCAATAAAGACGCATCTTTGTATTAACATAAAGCCCACGAAGGCAACATAAGACCTTTAATACAAAGTACCTTTATTTCAAAATAATATCATAACAATTGAAAACGCAACTGGGAAAAGTGAACACGACACACGTTGGGCTACCATAGCCCTAACACCGTGCGTAACATCAACCATGCATACGACAGGTCGTTAGTGTAGTTTCCTGCATTGCTGATTACTTCAAAATGTCATCATGCAAAATAGCATTAGCAAATCCCAGGCGACTATTGGCCTACCAAAAACTACATGTATACAGGCAATAGACGTGCACTCATACATCGCTCTACATTGTGCAATCACAAATATTAAGCCATGGAACTCAAACAAAAAATGTGGAATCGAAAAATAGCTGTTTCCAAATCATTTTAAATCCCTTTTTTGTCACATTCCCTTACAGAGTGAATTCGAGGCCACTCCTTGGAATCAACAATCTACGAATATCAAAAATCAAAAATGTGTTACACGTGTTTCATTCCCACCCTCTTTCATTCCCGTGGTCTTTTGTTTTGCCCGACTGTATTCCTTCACGAATAACATTCAGAACCACAGGTTCCCACTTCTTCTGAGGAGATAAGGGAGTTGAATAAAACCTCAGTCAATTTTGTTTTTCACTGAACGTGAGCCTGTTTGTTTCTAACTGATTTTTCTGGGCCCACTGACCCGTGCTCACTTCATAATTGAAAACATGATCAGAGTAGGTAGCGCAGTCCATCTGTTTTCCCCATAAATTCCATTCATTATAGTCTAGCCTGAAAACAGCACAGTACTTCTGCATATGGACAGAAACTTTGCATCACCCAGCTATCATGCCGTGCACAAATTGTTCATCAGACATGTAACATAAGTAAATTTGACACTTTTGCAGGATAAGATGCCATAAATCAAGGCCGATTCGTAAAACCCCGACCTGCCCATCAGAGCGCAGGCAGCGCAAGCAAAAACAGCGCGCTGCTTTCGTTGGATGCACTCTGCACGCAGCTGCAGCATGTACAAGTACCCAACGAGATAACACGTCGGCACACTCATTATGTTTAAATATCCGACGACCCAGGCTATACGTAGCAACCACGGGTATCCACGGCAACAGATTGATAGTAATGGTCGGGCGGTCGTGCAAAAGAAGCGCAAATTATTTATGAGCGATTTCCAACTTGCACGTGCTGTGTTGAACACTGCATCGGTGTAACTGAAATTTAACAAATACATGCAGTGGAATATCGAGTGCTTTTCTCAAGAAATCGATGACATCAGAAACTGTACAAAACTGACACTTGGGAAGTAGCACATGAATAATTTGTATTATCAGAGCGCAACAGAAAATATGGATGGCTGATAAATCATTGACGGACATAGGAACCACTGTAAATATTCGTGGCGCATTACCACAGCGGAGCAAACAGACATTTTTTCCCCTTTGTGACGTCGCAAGGGCACAGATCGGAGTCGGAGGGGATGAATGAATCTACAAGATCGACTGTCCGCAGAGTAATGCACACTATCGACGCCACAGGCGAAATCATGTTAAGCAGTATTAATGAGGGGAAGATGTATCAGTGTGTTTGGTTCGGTATACGACGATCCTGAGGCAGTCCAATCGATATCGCAAAATGTCGCCAAATTGGCACTTTAGCTGATAATATACGTGTACATGAGGCCGTCTGCCGTTCACTCAATCTAACACAAATTCTTTAAGGAACCAATGAACCATGGAATCTGGCATTTAGCGACGCTCAAGCAAATTCACGGCCGTGTTTGCGATGTGATGGAACACCGTTCGTCAAATCTTAAAATGAGTGTCGTATACAGGCTAAGGTCCAGCGAGGAACCCTTTGTGCAGTTAAATGTTATTTACAGAGAACGCTTTAACACTTATTCTGTGCAATATTTTGTTGCTGAAATAGCACCCCTTCAAGCTCATCTGATTCGTCCAAATTGTTTGGGCATGTATACGTTTTAAAGACATAAACCAGAACAGAGTGTAGCCATCAGGATCATACCCAAAGTAGTGCCACGATACGAGAAACAGTGTTGCAAACCTGGGGATGAGGAAAAGAGGACCAAAGGTGGGTCTAGACTCAATTTTTTTTTTAAGGGGAGCGATTGGGGGAGGCAAAGATTTGGGAATTTTTGTATATAACCCGTTACGGCCTCTCTGGGGGGTGCGAGTCAATTGGGGGGCTTTTTACACGCTTTTGGAAGGAAAGAAAATAAACACTCCCCCAACCCCCCTTATTGCATCTCGTAAATTCCCTCAAACTAAAAATAAATAACAAAAACCGCCCGTTTGGGGCCCTGTTGGCTTCCTGTATCCGCCATTGACAGAAATCATTCAGAGTGGCAAACAAAATCGTCAAATTAAACATACAGAGAAGCTTTTAGATGAATTATTATGATATTTATTGACTTAATTGAGGGAAATTTCAAGGGCATGTTAATTGGGTAGGCGGTAGAACTGCTTCGTCAGAAAATAATGTAACGTGATTCTATCCTATTAGAACGTGAAGAAGGAATGTGTACTATAAGGATAATGTATTGTCACCTCGGTCAATGAAAATTGGCAATTTTTCAGGTAGCAGTAATTAAGGCCAATGCTCATATACTGTGTGACGTGTAAAGCACAAATAGTTGACACGTTGCTAGAAGCCTAGAAGGTCTACATGAACGCAAGCACACCACCACTTTTGAAACAATTATCTTGCAAAACTGCCACCTTTATACGTCAATTAGAGAATCTGACGTCATAAGGGCCTTTGATATCTCTCTGTATCAGTCCCAATGTATGATTGACACGTTCAAGAAAGGAAGAGCCATGTCAAAAACCTGAACAACTCGTAATGGAAATTTGCTTGTAGGCCTATTATTGTAAATTTCCTGCAGGCACCCACGTCTGCACTTCCACGCCTACGATTTTCATCATAATCTCGCAGATGACCACCAGTGAAAGGGCAGATTACATATACGGGACTGGCCGGAAAACTCATATAGAGAGGATAGCGCCAACTTCAGACTTTGAATCAAAATGGCTGTTCATTATGTGAGCAAAACAGCATACAGCTCTTGTGTGCTAATTGTCAACGTGTACCCGTTCTAACGCACAATCCCGCATTTTGGTTCCAACAATCGAGACGCTCATATCGCAACTTTCTTTATAAACAGCTCTGGGCAAAGTGCACATAGTTTAACTCAAATAAGGAAAGAGAGCGGCGGTTTGTCTATATCCGTTCATTTCATGCGATTCCAAAACGGCTCTTCAACAATATTAGTACAATAAAATGTTTGCTTTCAAATAAAGCTCTCTCGGGCACAGAATTTTGCGTTACTTCTTTCCCGTCTGTTTGTTATCAGTGACAGCAAAAGAGTCAAAACATGGAGTCCACGGTATGCGTGCCCCTCAAGCTTCGTGTCATTGTTTAAAATCTTTACCGTACTTTTCCCGATTACACTGTTGCATCGTTTCTAATCTTCCCAACCGCAGTTGAAGAAGCATTTGAAGTTTTGCATCTCAACACCAATTTCAATGGGGTTTGATAAAGATAAAGTGCAACACACTACAAACCTGAAGTGGACTGAAAAATATTCAGTCAACTGCGCAGTAGCTTCTCTTCCTTGCTCCTTCAATAGTGTTACAAAATACCTATGCTCAGACAGATAGTATAAAACTATAATCCAAACGTTTTCTCGCTCTGAGTTTGTAAACATGTTTAAATACCATTTAGAGTTGAATACCAGCAAAGCATTGACGTGGAGCAATTGAACACAAAATGTTTAGCTTATTAATGTGTACAAGATGGTGGCAATGTCATGTATTTAAGTGATAAACACGGTTTCACGAGAGTTGGGATCTCACTCGCTAAACTTTCATCCTGCACTAAAGTCTTGCTAGCTCACCATCAACTTCAACCGCGCAATGAGACTATGGTGATACAGCTGTCCAGAAATTCTAATTTAAGCTGACTTTTTGTCGTGCAAAGCCAAGCAGCTGTTCGGTCTGGGAACGTATGGTGAAATTCATTGAAGTACATGTACGTGTATTGTGGCGCCAGCTTCGTGGACAAAGCACCTGGTGGATTGGAAGAAACGACCCATTTACCACGCGGCTTCTGTAATGAAAATTCTGTTATAAATATCGCAATTAGCTGTCTCGTGTATAGCCTCAATTTTTAATGATCAATATTTTCAACTTGAAAATAATACTGCGGCAGATTACTCTGTTTTCATGACGCGGTTGTTATTATTCTTTATTCCGTCGTGAATAAATGATTTCCATTAGGACGGAAAAGATGTGGTGTCAAAGCCAGGAAATTATTGTGAGTGTGTGTTGTTTTCGTTTTGTTTTGTCTCATTTTTTTGTGTCTTTTAGCTCATCACATCCGAATTCCTCCTGGTGCTAAATAAAATGCTATGTGACTCTACGATGAACCAAGAGATTATACATACAGAAGACAGCACGAACCCCCAACTATCGACTTTAATTAATTCGCAACATGCCAAGGCTACTCGGAGTGAATGGTGTGTTTAAAGTAATCAACAGATCCAACATCCATAATCCTTTCAAAACAAAACGTTGTGTGCGAACCTCTCATACCAAAATGGAGCAGTGTGTACACCTCCATTTGGTATGCCTATGAAGGCTTACAATGTACAATTGGGGGCATTCGAAATAGTATACGGTTAAGGGGTATGTTTATTGTGTATTGGCAAAATTGGATGGTTAAATCACAGTTTCGTGTGTTTACCATTATTTTATCCCACGCACTTCTTTGTAATCAATGTCATTTTCACATCAATATGCTCGCGTATACACGGTTGTGTAGGGTTCTTTGCATAACTGCACCAGTCTGTGATATAGCCATTTAAATAATTTTTCGGGCTGCATAATTATTACCTCATTACCTTCAATCGGGGTAACTTTGGTTCATATCCTGATTGTTTGCCTACCGTCAACCAGAGGTGTCAGCAAGTCATCTTTTGCAAGTCCAAGTCAAGTCACAAGTCATTAGGTCCAGTCACAAGTCAAGTCACGAGTCATTTGGTCACAGGACAAGTCAAGTCAAGTCAAGATGGTCTAAACACAAGTCAAGTGACCAGTCTCTTTGTCCAAGTACAAGTCAAGCTGCACGTTATTTTGTCCAGCAGTAATCAGCAAAAAGAACCAGGCGTCAACTTGCGAAGTTACGAGCTATAAAAGTATATGGGGTCGGTCAAGTCGCGTCTGACTTGGGTCGGTAACAAGTCATTTTTTGCAAGTCCAAGTCAAGTCACAAGTCATTATGTGCAAGCCCAAGTCAAGTCACAAGTCAAAGCTGGTATTCACAAGTCAAGTCTCAAGTCACAAAAATAGCAACTCGAGTCCAAGTCACATGACTCGAGTCAGCAACTCTGCCGTCAACCAAGGTAACTTTGGCAGTTTAATGTCCTGATCATTTCTGCTTTTCCGAAACAGAAATTAGTTTTCCATTGTTGGTTGGATAGTTTTGTCATATGGAGCCTGACGTCTAATCAAGTAGTAGCAAACATCCATCCACTTCTATTGATTATGAGTTAGAGCTTAATTAAGTAATGCCAAAGTTACCCTGTGGTTTGGGGCAACTTTGGCAGGTTGCTGGAATTTAATGGAAAAAAAATAAAAAAGGATTATAACAAAGTTTTACACTAGAAAAATCCGTCAGGCCAAGTCTCCATCGGGTGTATTTTATGATAAAATTACTTTCAAAGAATAAATTTATAGAATCTTATATCATTCATATAGCGTGTTGCGAAGATATGCTGGTGCCGAAGTTTCCCCAGGGTGCCAAAGTCATCATGGTTGACGGTATGTATCTTGCATCCCCACCATTTTACTGCCAAAAAGGCGAAGAGATAATACGGTTACCACATCGGTGTCCTTCTGGAGATATGTTTAGAAACATTGCTTGTTAATGAATCATGAAGCGTACCAGGCCCCTGTGTTTCTTCCCTCAATAGAACATACTGTCCCTTCTGTTCGTGGCATGAACAGTTCTTTTTTTGAGAGTATCTTTTCATGAAACAGAATAATATAAACCCTGTCCAGACGTCCACCGCCATTTTTGTGTATATCATGTATACGGTGTATAAACATCAACAGCGATTTTATTACATTTTTGCAATACATATGCACATCTTGAAAAATCTTACTAAGTTTATTCGAAAATATTATCCTTAGAATACGAATAGGGCCCATACGATAGACATTAATCGAACAGATGCGAATCACTTTAATTAATTTTTGGACGATGTAACTAATTAACGGGAGATCAAAATTTACAGAAATGTTAAAATAACCGCAAACAGTACCGTATGCTGTAAAATGGATTTGGCCTCATAATTTAGGTTAAGCATGACGTGTCAGAGCTCAGGCAGTCTTTGCATGATGCAGTCCGTCTAACAACTTGCTCGAGATTTCGAGATGTTGGATTCCGGACGTAGGTGATACCAAAACAACACCTAAGAGACGTGGTATTTCCTTTCGCATTATTTCACCTAGTCAAACAACCATGGATATGTGGATTAGTGGTAGTGGATCATGGTAATCAAGATAGTTCCTGCGTGCTTTTGAACCATTCTGTGTATGTGCCTGCTCCTTAGTGAGGCCCCGAGATCTCGGTCCACTGCTTTTAAGAACTTCTCAGGGTCGAAGAAAATTATTCTTTAAAAAGGTTAAACACCGGTGGCAACACGCCGCCGTAAGTGATCTCCGCGATAATAGACATCAACGGACACGGGAAAATATTCCTTGAAACCAATGCTTGATTCATGCTCACAGTGCATTTTGAAAATCCTTAAATCCACGCGGGAGACCGTTTAATGCAATGCCTTGCAATCCTCCCTACGCTGTAGACACATCGGCGTTTGTTTCGGGAGGGGGGCTTTTGTTTGGAGGGGGAAAATAAGGACTTTATGGGGAGTGAGGCTGCATTTAGATTTTTTAGAAACTTTTGGAAGGGAAATTAAAAAGACCCAAAAGCTGCAAAAAATGTTGCTTCTTTTTTTTTGGGGGGGGGGGGTTGGCCCCGGATCCTCCCTCGCTACGGCTCTGAGAGAGTCAAAGACTGGAATTTTCGTCTGTGCATTTCTGGTTTGGCATATACCGAAAGTCGCTGCTGGGTGAAAAACCCAGCAATTATTGCTCGAATAATGGCATAATTACCTGTTTCGTTGGCAGCCTCCTCCAGCTCTGTCGACTCCCTAGGAGCTCTCAACCTCTCTCCCACAACTCCTCCACCGTCTTTTCTAGTCTCCAATCCTCCATTGCTGGTGATCGAGTATAAGAAGAACGTCAAAGCGTAGGCCAATAAGAGTCCCGCGTATGTCCGGAAAACAACGGTTTTAGCGGCGGAGGACCCTTGGCGTTTGACCGTCCATAAGGCCATTCTGGCGGTCGGAGGCAACAGTGCTAGTACGGTGTATTTGACACGCTATCCCGCCTCGTGTTTTTACTTCCCGGCTACAGCAAAGCTCTGTTATTATGCCGGTATTATGTCAGTGCCTATAGCACACGACCCGCACAAGGAGGAATACTGCCAAAGCGGAACATGTTCAACGCGTATACACGGGCTATCATTCATTAGCATATGGTTAACATCATGTACCGATATTATCCGTTCGACGAACGGTTCCCTGTATATGTAATAGCTGTGTCTCGCCTCGCTAACGCTCGAGCACTGACGCTTTACATGCATACCTAGCCTACGGACAGACAGCCTGGATGCGGGCCAGTTGGACCCGGGGAAATTAATACATGCATTCACTATTGCCACCTTCTTCGGTTCCGATTTCTGACTCTGCGATAGTCGCCGGTTGGAATAGGCGCAAGTACGCGATCACATGAGGCAAGACTGTCGGGGACTATAAACGCTTGTTTATGGGGATGACTTGTTAGATGAGCCCGGCATAATAATGAAGTAGATGGCATACTGTACGTACCATGTGCTTTATGCTGCTACACATGACTTCACCGAGCCCCCTCCCGGCCTCAGCTGTGCACAACATAGCTTTACATGTACGCGCATGTCACAAAGATTATCAGTTATTGGAGGAATGGGTATCCTCATCCTGTTTATTTTTCACGACAGTTAAGTGATACAAGGATGAATTTAATTTTCTCCAGGGTGTTGTTTTCTCACAGTGGTATAGCCTGACTACAACGGAAGTGGTACTGTCTAGAATTACAAAGCAGTTCGTTTTACCAGCATCAAGGGCGGATCCAGAACAAACATTTTTGAGTTGTGGTGGGTGGCTTTAACCTTTTATGGAATTTCTGAATGTTGAGGCTATCTGAGGCTTTTACACGCTTTTTGAAGGAATGAAATAAAACAGAACTTCATTTCACACACACAAAAAACAAAAACAAACACTAAAAATGGCAGGGGCACACCCCCTCCCTAAACCAACGTAGCCCTAACCAGTTGCGGTGTATATAGGTTGACAAGCAACCTTATCGATTGTAGTAAGCAGTAAGTCTGAAAGCATCGTAAATCGTCGAGCAAGGATGCTTGCCCCTTGAAAAGATTGCTCACTAAAAAGGAAAACTGAAAAGCAACCAAAAAAAAAAAAAAAGAAACAAAAAAGGTAGGGATCAGAAACCACTAATATACATGAAATACCTCGTTTTGTCGGTTTGTTACTGATGAGTTTTGCTCGGTTTGGCTTGGGTAAAATCTTTTGTGTTTATTAGACCCACTTCAAATAGCGCCCTCTTATTGTGTCCGCCATGCTTCCAAAAGGGTAATGAAATGCGTTCTCGTTAAAAACGTACATGCCAGATACCTCCCATATTTGCGGAGGAAGGGCTCAGTTTAACAATGTTCTCCCCCCCCCAAGAATAGAAAGAAAACATGGCGTCAGTGACGAAACTTTGCGCCGGGAATTGGATAGGGGATGGGGAATTGTTGGGGATGACTTGCCCTGGACATTTGGGGGGAGGTGGGCGGATCTGACAGCAGGGGCGAGGTTTATGAAAAAGATGTACGTCTGTAATATGAATTACATTCCTGTAGAAAATATTTGATCAGAACGGCATATTTACATCCTTTTTATTCTCCCTTTTCGAGTGCTACTGAATACATTTTGGTTGTTTGGAAGTCCAAAAACTTTTTCAAACTCCACCCTGTTTTTTCTCACCACGAAAACATTCACTAGACCATCCCCCAACCCACCCCCCCCCCAAAGGCGGGGATATATACCCCCATCCCCCGGGTCTTTATCCCATGCATGGCGTCCATCGAAATGTTTTGGTATGGCAAACGTCGCTACGAACCGCTGTCTCTCCCCTACCCCCACCCCATCGTGTGTATCCAGTTCCATGCAATACGCCAGCTGCCGTGTCAGACCATGACCATTTTGTTTCGTCATGAAATGGCTTCGTTTATGAATCTTTCGCTCTTTCCGTTAACTAACTCTTACAAGTAAGCGTAAAAAACACCACATTAAACGTTGACTTTTTGACACCCCCCCATTGTATTTTGATCATTACGAATTCATAAATTTAACCAGCAATAAGGCAAGGGCATTGACTGTTCATGATGGAGTTTGCTCTTCAACAACCGAGACTTTTGTTGCCTAAAAGGTGACACATGATCATTGACACCACATTCACGAAACTTACACACCACCGGTTCTCTCAGCCCAAAAGGTTCTCCATAATGAAGCAGCATGAAAGCTGCGTTTCATATCGCGCTGAATACACTGATAATAAAAACCCGAGTACTGGCAGTAATGTTTCCCGTGCCGAAAGATTCAATTTTCACTTCATGGGTACAAGGACATAATGGAACAAACTTCATGAATGGTTCCCCACTACTGTCAAACATCAACCTGACCTTACACAACAGACCTGGACTCCATACCGACCATAATTTGAAGACTGTTCTTGTAATGATAAACGCATCCTCACAATTATCTGGGAAATATTTGAATTAAAAACCAAACAAGCTCAAATGGTTTCACGTGTCTAGATGCTTCAACTGAGTTCTGAACCAAATTTATTAGGTCAACAATTCTGATAGGATTAAGTTACACACTAATCTAAAAATAGATCCAGATCATTAAATGAATTGTACAAATTAAGTTACGTACATTTACATTACTGGCGTTTTTTCCTCGTTTCATTGTGGATATGTAAAAAAAAAAGATCAGTGGATTTGACATTTCTCGTAGCTCGCCTCTTCGACCGCGAAATCGTTCATTTAAAAATGTACAACAAAGATTTCCCATTCGGTTTTATGTACACGTATACATGTCATGTTATTTTAACCCTTTGTATTAACACTGACTTTACAACCGTTACACATTAACCGAGAGTGAACAGAACATTTTACAAGAAAATAGCAAGAATATCATGGAAGAGAGAATAAAGGCTCGACGAAAGGCAGTGCCACAACTTGTCTCCAAGAGGAAAAGATACCGTTTGTTGAAGCATCTTGCTTACGGGCACATAACACAGAAAATATCAGTTTTGTGACCAAAATGTTCATGCCACGGGGTTCTTCAAACGGGGAGAAGAGTCCGCGGAGAGTTTCGTTTTAAAGATGCAAAGACTAAACGGAAACGAATGATTTTTCACATAAGGGCGCTTGCTGCAAACTTCTGTATCCGATGCAAAACTCCACTATATATCATGTACAAGGTATACAATAATATTGTGGGCCAAAACCACCAAAATTGGAGTCGGCTTGAGAAAAAGCACAGCGATTTACTGACGGAAAAAAGTTGATTTCCGGAGCATACAGAAAGAATCGATTTAGAAAGCTTGCCCTGAAAATCTACTTTACGAATTAATTTCCAGGGGTCACTGATCGGGTAAAATTGCTTCAAAGGCGGCATGTTCGACACGAAAGCGACCTCTGCCGGTGACATTTCGCTTTCCTTCCCATTTTCAGCTAGAAAAAATTGTGACTTCTCACACTGTTTCGCAGAATGAAATCAATCTAGAAGTAATTGAGTGACTTTCAATTTACAAATTTCTGAGAGGACAAAAGATTCAAGTAAACATTTCTAATAACGAAATATATTTTTGCCAAGCTGGTAAACTGTGACCCTAAACCTTTGAAAGCATGGTGAGCTGGTCAGATATTTCCATGAGTATTAAAAATGAATGGCAGTTTTCACCTAATCCAAGTCCGTTCCCAGAGCAATCGCTAGTTCCCTTGCAGGCCGTATCATGCGCTGTGATCTTTACAGGCTGGCAGCCGGCGAGTGTCAAAACCAATGTCATTGCACAATACAATCCTGCCTGAATGGACACTGGTCACCCCATTACTGATGCAATCTCAGCTCTGTCTTCCATTGCCTGTTGCTTGCATGTCTTGCTACTCTCAAAATTGCAGCTTTGTTGATAATAATTTATTATCAATGGCCTCCACAATTTTCTGTGGCAAAACAAGACTAGTGAGAACCTTGGTCAAGTTCTAAGACATCAACGGGAGTGGTCAAACCACCTTGCCCTCACGTGAAGTCAGTAAACCATAGTTAATGCTTGAAACTGCTCCACAGCGAATCCAAAATAGGTAAAGGCAACTTTACCAATCATCAACAAGATGTCATGTGTCGCCCATTTCACCATTAAAAAACCTTCCCAATAACAGTGCTACTGTCTCTGTTTCAGCACCAGATGTTAAGAGGAAACTTCATGGTTGCATCTTCACACTAGACCAGAAGTTTTTTTTTGGGGGGGGACCTAAATCTCAAACATCTGACCCTGAAGGTCTGAGGTCAGTCCCCACACTGATAAGCTCATAACCTTGATCCTTGGTGCCTATTTACACCCAAACTCACTCCATTTAGTCCTAGTTGTGATGAAGTGCTTTTCCTCACTGGTGTATCCAGCGGGGGGCACATGTTGTAAGGAGGAATTTTTTCAAAACTCTCGGCTAATCATTAGATTACAAATCATTCCCCCTTTTTCCGCCCCATTTTTACTCATGCTGAAGTACTCATACTCACAGCAATGTACTCAACTACAACACTGCTTCATGACCCATCAAGACATGAGCTCCTCCAATTCCTTGGCATGTTCCATCTAGAGTCTACTAAGAGATTGTTTTCCTGAAAGCGAGACTGAGAATCCGGTGTGAAAGTTTAAGAACTACGACTGGATGAACGATAGAAACGTAGCGATTTGAGAAGGAGAGCAGGATTTTCATCCTGACTGCAAATGCAATGTTCCTTTTTCTCCCTTTGATTTCTTCAGACGATAGCGAGTCGAGTTGTCGAAGGGCAACAGAGTATAGGGGAAAAATACCTCGCGGGAAATACCGAGAAATAGCCAAATCCTGGCTTTGCTCAGAAAGCAGCTTGCGATGTTGTGCGAGCATCAGTCTTCCTCAGGCTGCTGGTGACCCATTGGCCTGGTCATGTGACTGCCTGTCATGTGACCGGCCCTCATCAGTCCCAGTTCCAGACGTTAATTTAGGACGGCAAGTTGCTGCCCGAGCAGGCCCGGAGTTTAGATTCGGTTTGACATTTCATGGAATACACCTGGATGACGGAGAACAGACTGACTCCGTCCCACCTTCAGATACACAACAGCCCAGTTACAGTAACATCAACAACACTTAATACAATTTCTCTTGTGACAATGCTGTGTTTTCTCAAGGGAAAAAAAAAAAAAGAAAACGGGACCAAAAAAAACTGTTGCTAACATTCCAAGAAAGGTCATGCTTTGAAAATTTTGTCGCACATTATTCAATCTCTGCAGGGGAAAACAAAAATTCCTTCCGTATCGAGCTATCCAGAGAAACAAAGTCAACTTCTTTGTATCCAATCTCTGCAGTGTTCTTTAGCTCGTGCTACCGACACACCTCCACATTTTGTAAGTCGTTTTTTCCCCCCTCCTCGTCTCAAGGAAGTTTCGTTTTCTTTTCGTGGGTTCTATTGTTTGGCTTCCGCAAGAGTTGAACTTGCGTGGGTGTCGACAATAAGTTCAAGTTTGATGAGGGCATCGTGTGATCCAGCCAGCTAACCGTCCTCCTTCGGTGGGGTGAACCATCCTGGTGACCAAAAGTGAAACAAAAAGATGACAGAAGATTGTCAAACCATAAACCATCGTGCAATTACCAACTGTAGACTGGTGTCATGCAGATCCTCAGCTTTTTTTTGGCGTTCGAGAGATGCATAGCCCTCAATAGGGCAGAGAACATATCGTTCAACTCAGTTGTATCACACAGTGATGTATCTTCTAAGGTTGTTACATCAAAAACTGACATATGATTTAGATTGCAGAGAGTATAAGCACAATTTGTCAATTCCCGAGCGTCACATTTGAGGTGCATGTCCTGTCGCAGCAGTCAACAACTTGGGTCAAGGTTGACCAGGGAACACTGGTTAATTTTTTTTTCTATGCACAAAACACATCCTGGGTACCAGGTAAAATCAACCAATAGTTGATTAATGGTCGCTGATCCGACTTGGCCTGTTCTGCACTACTGTGCCACTGCACACTTCACCCAAGTCCCAAAAGTTGAAGTGCGACAATTAAACTATGAGAAATAAATATGAGCTTCCGCACTGTATGGTTTGGATGACGTCTGAACTTATAACGTCTGTGACTGGATAGTCACAAGGTCCCTTATTTCGCCACCTGCTGTCAAGTCTAATTGGTTTTCACAGTAAGTGGCGAAAATGAGGGACCTGGCAACTATACATTCGTGGACGTTAGATGATATGCAGACTAAAAATGGTTTTGACCCCAGGACGCAGTTACAACATTCCCAACAATGGAAACTGTCCCCTTAATGCAGGGGACTGGTACCAAAATACAGACGTTGTGGGAAACAACGCTAACGGAACAAAGTTCTTGTCCTAACTACTCTGTCCCCCCAAAAAACAAACAAACCGCCCCACTCGAGTTAGAGCAAAAAAGACCAGGGATGGGTGTTTAGATGTTCATTGCTTTTCACAATGCTGATAAGTTTTCAAACTTTAATCTCCACATGACCGTTTGACCGGTTCTCAAATGACCTGACTTCATTCATTTATTAGTACGGACTGGGCATGCTCTCTCTACCCGTGATGAAATCAACGGTAGATGTGCAACAAGAAAATGAATGCACCATTCATGTCAAGTCATCTATGAGAGATACACAGAAGAAGATACATGTAGCTAGTTGGGCTTTGAGGGTGGAACACTCTTCAACTCACCGTTCTTTTCGTGAATCTGCACCAAGGACTTGAACGACTGCTGCGCTCTGGCCAGGCTGTATTGGCGCTGCTGGGAGAAAAGGACGAACACAAACGTCTCTGTAAGTATGCGACACTCTCACAACGCTAAACCACATCACAGCCTGACGGCATCTCGGCAGCATACCAATAGCTTCACCCTCACCCTGGCCTGGTTTAACAACACCAGCTCCTGCTCTGGGTTCGCCTGGTTTCTATAAATTCGGACTTTGAAGTTGTCAACTCAACAATTACACAAAACTTTGCTGCCAGAACATCCAACTGCATGTGGTCAATCCACAGTCTGAATTATTGTCATTTTATTTGAACAAGGCTAACAAGCATTTTGATGGCAAGAATAAAACCTGGCAAGGAATCCCCCTCCCATCCACACAATCAATCACACTGTGCCCACTGTGAAGCTATTTCTGAAGGAGATACTTTGTAACCATGGATTCAGTTTTAGCTATCCACATGCCACGGTAAATAGCCATGGACGTACACAGCAATGCCCATTTTTGCACATGGCCTAATCTACAAGCCTTCAAACCAGCACTTGTTTTCAGGTGTCTAGGTACAAGACTTATCCGTGTTGTAAGCATGCTGTCTGGAGGTAGCAAAATTATCAAAGGCCGTGTCTAAATTCACTTGGCTGTGGCTGGAATCAGCACAGGCACCTGTGGAAGCCATCAACTAATGGATTCATCCATTTCCCATAGACATACATGTTGATCCCAGCCACAGCCCAAGTAACGAGGACATGGCTGCACCTTTACACCGTCTGGCTAACTACCATGCCTGTTTCATGGACTTAGTAAGCGAGGACATATTGTAAGGTGGATGCATGTTGTAAGTGAAGAGTAAGCAAACCAGTCAAAAGCAACTACAAATTGCATGGTGCATGTATTTTGGCTGGTAGCCCGTTTTCACACTGCTTTGCTCTGTAGCTCCACCAACGAGGCCCCCGCTGCGTGACCCCCCTCTAACCTTGGAAGCGCCGAACTGGATGCGGGCCTTGCCCTTGACCAGTGTGGCCGCGATCTGCAAGATGACCGCCTCCACCGTGTAGGCGCTGCTCCAGCCCTGCTTGGTCAGCAGCTCCATGCAGATGGCCCCGCCCCCTAGCACGTAGCCGCCAGTCAGCACGGGGAAGATGACTCGGACAAACGGCGGGTCAAAAGGGAAGTTTTCCTGGTGGGCGGACGGAAAACGGAGTGAAGTAACGACTCTTAACCCTAACGGTCCTGAATCCTCCAATTCTTAATACAATTTTGCGTACATCGTAGTATGTCTAATTTCTTGCCGGACAACCTTGAACCGTGGTACACATCTGATAGCAAGGGGATACTAAAGAGGTGCTGTGATAAAAAGGTTATTTGGATATGGACATTACGTCTGTTAGGCACCATTTCAAACTTCTTATCGGGTAGGTTGTCGGACAGAATGGTCCGACCGATACATTTATTATCGGTTGGCTGTCAGGTTAAGTGTTCTCAAGTGGCCAATTCTAACTGATACAATGCCTTTTTATTGCATTACTCCCAAGGCTATGTGGTTTCAGTGGAGCAACACCCCCTCCGTTATTCACTCAACACAAGTCAACATTATCGGTTGGATAGCCCTGTCCTATAGTCAACAGATAGGAATTTTGAAATGATGCCTTGATTAGGAGAGATTTCTCACAAAAATGCTGAAACTGAAGTGAATTGTTCAAGTGCAATAACCCCAACCAATATTGTAGTCAAATCTATCCCAAGTCCATCACAAGTCATCCAGTGTTAAGCCAAGTCCTGAGCTATTCAAATGAACTCGGACGAAAGCATTCCCTTGTCACTGGCCTCTTTGTTTCTAGTGACCTGGAAGGTCATTGTGATGGATTCCGTTTGACTCCAACCACCATTTTCACAGAATCCACTAATACATTTGACTAAGAGGAAAATTCTGCTGGACCTGCAACTTTAGGCACTAAAAATTGCCTCGTATCTGCAAATTTCAGGTCGCCTTGGTCGACACATCATTTGTTCGAGTTTCTGCATTTTAAATTTCGGACATCCAGCAGAAGAGCCAGCGTTTGCCTTGACGTTGCCACAGCTAAAAAGACATTGACAATAACAGTGGCAAGTGTGACAACGACGATAACAGACCACGTTTAGCTGGGACGTGAAAAAACACAGAGGTTTTAAAAAAGAAAGCTCACCTTGAATGTCATGTTTAGCAAGATGTGATCTTTGCCTTCTTTCTCCTTGAGTTGTTTCAAGTCTGCATAGAGCGGACTGTCATTATCAACTCTGCAATTACAAAAACAGGTTGTTCTTCAAATTCCCTGGACCTTTTTGATGGCCAACCAAACAATGTCCTTCTGTTGGAGAGCACTGTGGGATACAAAGCCCTATCGTCAAGGGCACTAAAACATTTCCTGGGATGGAGGGTGAATCAGATGACAGCACTGGCAATCAACCTTATTCACAGGGGAAACCACTTTCCATCATCTGCCCTGAATCTATCATATATAATGCAAGCTGTTAAATGCGGTGGTGCCAGGCTATTTGGGTTCCAAACATCACTTTCATTTTTTTTTTTTGCTGCTTAAAGGTGGTGTACACCATTGGTTTTTTGTCGTAATTTCACAAGATTGGCTGATTATGGTGTATAATATTCACTGCAACCTACATTCCACTCACTTGTTTCACGATTGAGTCAACTGCTTTGTGAAAAATCGAGAAAAACAGCGCAGCATTTTCAACGCTTAAATTGAAGGTCTTGTAGTTTATCTTGCGTAAAATCTATGGATTATAGGGCGTTCATAGTACAAGCGAACATCGTCCGCGGGGTCAGGGTGGGAAAGAAGCATTACAGGTTCTCATTCCCTTAAAAAAGGAGCAGTTTTCAACGGCTAGGAGTAATCAGCAAAGTTACCGTGGAGTAATGAGCCTTCTCGACTATGTCGACAATGTAGCGTTGCAGATTCATGGAAAAACTTCACCCAGGAAAATAGCCGGTCGAGTAGCGTTTGCCTTGGGTTGGTAACAAGTCCTTTTTTTGCAAGTCCAAGTCAAGTACAAGTCAAAGCTGGTATTTACAAGTCATGGTACAAGTCACAAAAATAGCGACTCGAGTCCAACTCGAGTCCAAGTCACTTGACTAGAGTCACCAACTCTGCTTCGCTATCGCCATTTGGAACGGCAGTGGCACGGCGCCATTCTAAACGCATTGCTATGCTGCCATGCCAAATAGAACAGTTGCAAGTCAAGCTGACACCAGTGAGATCAGTGGGCTGTCCTTCTCCCGAGGTGTTATACGCTAACATCCATGGTCAAACGTGAGGAAGGAACCACAACTCATTACACAACAAAACTGTTGCACAGGACTTTCGCCGGCGCAAACGTTTGACATTTCCGGCAACCAGCCATGCAACAGCCACGCTCTCGTTGCACTCATTGTAAGTGAAGATTGGCACGGAAGCAGCAGAGTTAATTTTTTACTGACCGAGCCAACTTACGATAATATTTTGATGTGCCAGTCGTACAAACTGTCGTTGACCAACTCAACGCAGTACATCTTCTTCTTGAAAGCCTCTGACCGGTAGACGTCTCGGAGCTCCTTCATCAGCCTGTCTGTGGCCTGCACAGACCCTGACACTGAGCCCTGAGGGGTGGGGGTGGGGTTAAAATAAACAAGACAAAGATCAGTCTCGACCCAACCCTCCAAAAATGCAACAAAGTTTGCTAGAGCCTGAGAGTCGTTGGATTGAGTGGTTGACACCTGTTGCAGTGTAAATGGCTCTTGGCTGAGGCTGACGTTTCAACGAAGGCATATGCTGAGTTAAGCAGGGTTTTCTTTCTGGTTGCCTTGAAGTGTGTTGTATTAAGCAAGGTGCCTAGAGAACCTGACAGGGGTAAGGTTAACCATTCCGAGGAGAAACAAGAGACGGCGTATTTGACGTAAAAATGTTGAAAAGTCTCTGGATATGTAGGGCAATAAGGCTATGTCACAGCTTAATTGTTTGAGCCACAAAGGCAGAATGGCAGAGGTTTGGTTTTGTTACAGAAATCAACTGTTTTGATGTTCTTTTTCCCCTAAAAAAAGCATCGAACCAGTATGGATCATGGATCCCCCAGTTGCGTAGGATTCATTCCATGCCTGATGTGATGTAGTGCCTACTTCTTACCTTTAAGTAGTCTCTTCTCTGGTTGGATTTTAATCTCTCCAGTACTGCATAGTTCTCTGCGTCTATGTCCTTGTCGTCCTTCTCTGTGACTGATTTGCTGTTGGGTCAAGTTGGAGATGAATGGAGATCAGAATACACTCAGGGAATGGAACGGGCAAGAGTGACTGTGTGCGGGTTCTGAACAGAATCGATTTCAAACTTAGCATCGGCTGCCATTTCTGCTTCCTTTCAGAGATCGACTCCCCCGCCTAAGCAGAAACTGTTTTCCTGTTTACCCAGCTTTTCCCTAAAGATGTCGCTCTTCCTTGCCTTGAGTCAGTGCCGTACTTCACACAAAAGGCAAGGTCGTTTGTGGAACGAAGCATGTGAGTGTGGACATGCTCTTCTCAGCTACATGGGGGTCGGCATACCTCGCGTGACTGAAGCACTTCATTTTGGGTGTGTGCTGTTGGAAAACCCAACTAGCTTATTGTAATGAACTGCAAGGCAAATACAACTGTGTTACTGACTTAATGCACACGGTCCTGCAGTCGCATCCACTGGTTATCCAAGTCCCACGTGAAGTCACAAGCTATAGAAATGAAATGTGACAACGTTCAGCAACGGCAAAAAATAGCCAAGTACCAGTCATACGCCATGTGCCACCATGACCTTTTGGCCGGTAAATTACTTTTTTTGGTCACCAAACCTTTTCCTTGCTGAGGTAAATTTCCAAGCTTAGAAGCCTCTATACCACAATGGCAGGCAGTCCACCCCACTCGCATATAAGCGAGTTGGTGCTACAGCGCCCTCTATAGTGCATGCACCAAGCCCATACCTTGGCTCTTCCTCCATCTCGTAGTGATCCATACAGTCGTCCATGTCCTGGTTCTCCTCTTCCTCCTCTTCTTCCTCCTCCTCTTCGTCCTCGTCGTCGTCTTCTTCGTGTGCAAAATCGTCAGCACCGTCATCTTCGTCAGCACTGGCCATTTCGTCGTCGCTTTTCTGCATTTGTTTTTTTAAATGACATGAGGAGCACACGGAAGTTGAGCGTCTGGCGAAGATTCAAGAGGTTTACAGCGAGAGGAGCGTGCCCGCCCAAGCATCTTTAACCCTCATAGTCCCTAATCCTTCACCTGTTGGAAGTTTGAAGACTCTGAGGGTTGCATTTTGATAATTTATAACTGAAAAAAGAATGTGGCACTTACCGTTCAATAGTAAGGGTGTCCTCCCTGATTCTTTTTTTAGCAACTGATCTCCGACTTTTTTGCTTCGATACGAGTTCAAGTTAGATTAGCCTTAACAACTATTTCCATTATTAATACTACTTGTAGCTATCCCTGTTCTCTCTGCCTCCGCTTCCAAAAGGATAAACAATGAACCCACTGCCAAACTTGAGAGGAATCTGCCAATGTTAAGGCTGATCAGTACTTTTGCAAATCTGACAACAAAGAAAATTCATTAAGCTAACATCAAGTGCCTCAATGAAACCCAAATGGCTGAAGTCTTGATAGTCGCAACAGTTTTGCTTCCAGTTGAAATGTGAACCAAAAAGTGGATTCGATCTCTGTTTAACCTAACAAATCTCACCTAACTACTGTAATTTATGTGCTGAGCAAAAATTTGAAGAAAACTAGTCACAAGACACAGGTTTACCATGATGTTTCAGCTTGTAACCCGTTATTGCTAGGTTGATATTTACTTTGCCAAGCAACGAAAGTATTTGCTTAGCCCCTCAACCTTCCTATTTTGCTTTACCTCTGAGGGTAGCTCTTGATCTAAGATGGACATTGTAGAAGGCTCTTGGACGTTATGTAGCTTGCACAGGTCTCGAACCAGCCGCCTGATCATTTTTAGGAGCTGCAACAAAACCAAACAAAGCAAGTGTGGTGTCCTTCAACAAAGGTACCAATACCAACTGATCTCTGTCGACTTTTGAGTGAGCCCATAGGCTTCAACTTTTGGGTTACATTGACTTTTCACTGCCTTTTTCTGACTGACAGATGGGGGAGTTTAACTTGTGTTTTATACGAGAAACCCCTGATACAATGAAAAAGCTTTTACACAGAGGAAAAACCACACGTAAGCATTTCAACTCAAAGTGCCACGAAATGGAACATCTTCATTTTTCTTTTAAAACTGACCATTCCAAATATTCCAATTTAAACTCCACATTTTGAATGACTGCTAATAGGATTCAGTACTACAGTTAATACAGTGCACCATTTGTGGCACAATGTCCACAGGTAAAAAGAATACGACGAGAGGTCCATTGCATTGTTGACATGGTAAGACTCAACAAAGGTCTCAGATAAATTTGTAAGGTTACTGCAGATCTCCCAATACTTTAAAAAGTGTGGATACTGGTCACTGGCAGCAGAAGGGGGGGGACAGTGGTCCCCTCACTTTTTTGACGGGGGGAGGACATTCCCCCCACCCCACACTTTTTGCAGGGCCCATAATGGAGTGGGGCTTCATGGGTAAGCCTATTAACCACTTCCTGCCAGGGACTCCGGGATCGGAGACGTATGGTTTATATGGGTGGCCGGGGTCTCCGAACTCGGACAAAGGAAACAGGGCCCTATAACAAAAGATCGTACTCCAAACAACAGACCAGGCTGCTGGGCATTACCGACATTTTTCACTCTCAAAAGTGGTGATAATCTAGCCTTGTTTTTGAAACCGTATACCAGGATTTCGGGCATTGAGAGGGAGCGGATTACCACCGAGGACAAAACTGCTCCAAAACAGCCCTGCTGCACGCTAATCTGGCCCCTTTTGAAAAGAGGTCAGCAGTGCACTAAGCCAGGTTCATGAACAAAAAGACAGTTATACAACACCGCACAATCTGGGCTCTGTTTACAAAGCTGCTGGCCTGGCTGAAATACTCGGGCATCAATGAAGGTCACCTGTCAACTTAGAGTAGTGCCTAAAGATTACTTGGTGTGGCTATAAACGACCGTTAAATGAAATGATGAATTTTTGAAGGATTTCGAAAACGGGAAAAATGATAGTCATGCCGGCCCAGCATCATCAACATTGAAAAATGCCCCGGCATGAAGTGGCTAATGGCTGGTGCCTGATGGTCTCACAACTTGCCCCTCACTATGAAAATTTTTCAAATCCATCTCATAAAGGTAAGTCCAGTCACAAGTCCTTTCATGAAGCCGGTCATGAGTGACAGGCTAAACAGTGACAAAGAAATGCTTTGGTCATAGTTCATTTGAATAGCTTGTGACTCGGCTTGGGACTCACTGACTGACTTGCAATTAATCTGTGACTGTAACCTCCTCTGAAAATAACCAATATCCCAAACTGGTAGAAACTCTGTAGCTTGCCTTCTCTGATTGGTGTTTTGGAAGCTTGGTATTAGCTGCCGATTGAGAGCGTCAGCTACATTATTGAGACACCACCATTACAGACAAAATTGAAATATAGATGAGAACTTACAAGCTGTCCCGAAGCACTTATTTCAGACAAACGTTGAAGAACAGTTGACAAGACAGGGTCGTCAGAATCGGAAAACCATACTGGTCGAGTCTGTGGGTATGAGTCCTGTACACATTAAAAAAAAAAAGGTGACTGTAACCATCTGGGATGAAATGTGAAGCTTTTTGTGGTAAAGGTAGCAAGTGAAGTAATAGGTTTACGGTAGCACCAGGCAAGGAGACAATGGACAGAGCATACTGTCCGAAACGTTGAGTACCTCCGGTTCTCTTCAGAACCACACATACAACTGTATTCCTAAAAGAGATATCCTTGCATGGTGCTATCGCAAACCTAATACATGTACATGAACTTACATTCTGTGATATACGAATTCATAGTAATATTACACTTCAGTAAAATGGTGTAGCATCATGTTGCCACTTTTTTCATCACTGACTATGGCCAGTCACTGTACACTTAATAAAATAACATCTGAATGGGACAGAGAATCTTTGCAACCATTGCTTGAAAAATTTATCGACTCTCTACCGCCACAAAGTTTTTTGATGTTCACAAGGCATCATGGGATTGGATGACAAAACAAGCAATGCATTTAGCACACAATCCTATAAAAGAAGTGTATGCAAACATTAATGTTTCCATTTTAATCACAGACTCAAAATCAAGCCATCCTCTTTTCACATTGTGTTGTGTTGTAGATTTCGCATAAAGTTATACATGTACAAGTTAAAATTTTAAAGCTTACAGAGAAAGACAGATGGGGGGAAATCCGTTCCACAAACACAAATTTTGGTCTTGGACTAAGATCATGAATGAGCTAGTACTGGCCAATCAGCATCTTAAAGCCATTTGACTTGAAGCCATTCATCCCATATTGACCAATCACGTCCACTTTCAGCCTTTAGTGACTGGTGTCCACTTACAGAGACATTTAGAGCAATTTTTTCTTCTTATAAACTTTTGACAATTTATTTCCTATTTCAAAACTGTTTCTTGTATAATATGCATTCATCTCGGACTTGATAAGCGGGTACGTGTGCTTAAGAAATGTTACAAAGAAATGTATAAATTGATTTTTGATTTGTTAACCCCCCCCCAAATACATGTACATGTAGGTACACGCATAAACAACATGCATGGTTATGCATGCATGGTATTTGTCATCCAATCCCATGATGCAATGAGAATGTCAAAACTGTTTATTGGGTGTCAAGAGTGTCTTTTGTCAACATTGGTCATCACCCGGTCAGAGATTTCATATACAGTACAGGATCGACCAAAGGCGCAGAGCAATGGCTCTGGTATGGTACATGTACATATTGGCTATGGTACATATTGGCCCAAAACACCATTTTGGGCACTTTTGGGATTCTCAGTAACAGTTTTGTAAAAGCCAGGCTTTTGCTGGGGCATTAGTGAGACCAGAGCAAGGAATGGCGAGACTGACCAACGTCAGAAATTATAACAAAGAGCACAGCGCCTCAGTTACTGGGTCTGTGCTAGGCAAATGTCGATGCTGGGCATGACTGGTTAATTTGCATGATCAGTCAATCGCTTTGCGCAATCGGTTGATTCTGAAGGAAATCTCAGACTCTCACTCAGTGTAGGCCCGGACACAAATAAGAAAGAAATAGTTACGGTATCAGCTGACTGACAGATCATTAAACAAGACCGGCTGATGCTTGTGCAGCAATTGCTCAGACTGAGTATTGGGCACAATCAGTCAATCTCCACGTCGATCATTTGATCTATGCAGACTATGCCTGATTGGTCAACTTTGTGGCACAGTCTGTCCATGGAGGTAGATGGCCGATCATGTTTATTTTCAAGGTTTTGATTCACCTGTTCATGGTTGCCATAGACAATGACAGACGAGATTGGATGATAGAAATCCATTTTGAAACAGGATAGATTTCCTAAGGTGCATGACCATATCGTCGCCAGGTCCCTAATTTTGCCACCTATTCAAGTCTGATTGGTTTTCACAGTAGGCCTAGGCATGCTAAGCCTAAGTAGTGAAAAAAGGGGTCTGGAGATTATAGGATACAGTCATGCATGTTACAGGTTCAACCAACAGAACAGATCAATTGATCACATCCAACAATGACTTTTGGCCATCTAACAAATAGCTTAACATCACAACAAATCATTATGACCTGGTGACTGTTTTTGTGTTTGTAGGCTAGGCCTAGGCACTGTCCCGGCATTTCTGATTGCTGATGATGACACCGCACCACAATTTCTGTTACTTTTTCTCACACTAAAGCGGGAAGAAACACACAGATGACTGCGCACAACCATCATAGTCTGTCTGCTTAACTTCTTCCTGGTCCCAGAGCCAAGGGACTCGTCGCTGAGTGATACTCACTGTGAAATTACAATGTACGACAAATTCCTCCTTGTTACAGCCGATGAACTTGCACGTCAACTCGTCCATGGTGGCAGCATGGATCTGAAATCTCTCATTATCCTTACCAAACAGTGATTCTGAGAGTTTGAGTTCTTGCTTAAGAGACGCCACACAGGCCATATTTACATCTTTTTCCGTCTGCCTATGTGTGATTTTGGCCTAATTCTCTCACTAAATCTGTACCCGAAACAAAAGTTCACTGAAAATGGCGTTTTGTTATTTTCTACGCAAGCTCAGTGAGAGTGCGCCCTCTACAGTGCGTACGGTGTATACTTTGTTGTGTTTCTGTACTGTTTTGTCCAGTAGAAAAGTTTGTCAGACTTATAATTAGGCCTACTCGTCCAGCCTGATCTGTGACCCTTACCCGTCAAACAAATGTCCTCAAGCCTGTTCGTTTTTGCCCATGTGTATTCCAGTTGCAGGGCAAATAATGTGCAATCGTTTTATTCACTTTGGGGTGTCATGGGTGGAGAGCAACGTACAATGTAGACGCCGGACCGGCCGTACCTCAGGTCACAAGCTCTTAAGCAGGAAAATTGAAGGGACCAGTAATTAATCCCTCAAACTCAAACTGTCTTCAAAAGTGTGTCTTAGAGTACAGTCACTGACCCGTTTCAACGCGTTTCCCGATGCCCCTTATGAAAACAGTTTCCCGGTCCGTCCAAAACACTCCGGGGAATTTCTAGTGTACGGCCCATTTCGTGCCAGTGATTAGAGGGCGATTCAATGTCCACCAGGCAAACATGTCCTTTTTCGCTTGTATTATATTTGTAATTTTTTTTTAATTCTTAACGGGTTTTTAAAAATAGAACTGTGGGCTACTTGCGGTTAAAATGAGTAGGCTTGACACTTGGGATTTCCTCCTAAAGTAAATCCATTATTTCGAGTCTGGGGGAAGTTTTTTTTTTCCAGAATGATTTTTTTTTTATAAAGAACCCTCCCCTGCAACAAAGGTGACCTCCAATTAGCAATTTCTAACGTGTTGACGATCTCAATTTCTACGTTAAAAAAATAATAATTAAAATATACACACCACATAAAGAAGGCGTTTTTCATCAACAACCTGCCTTTTGCGGCTGTTTAATGAAACTTGTCAGTGAAAATCTGTTCAGACAAGAAATGCTGGGCTCTCACGAATGGAATGTGCAGTGCTCGCCGAGAATAATTAAGGCCACTCATTCGCCGAGCGGCTGTTTGTGCAATGCCCCTGCATTGCAAATAACTGATCAATTGCAAGCAAGGAAAATTATTTCAAGCCAGGACAAATGAAAACAAAGCTGTAATTCTCTTTACACCATTACCTTGCGCAGTGACAATCAGAAAACACCTCATGTTTTTATTAACCATCTCCCCCGCTCAGCTTGCCCAATCCGAAATAAAACCTCCCTAGTGCAGCTGTTCAACCGTCCTTTCGTCTTTTCAGAATCTTTGGCTGGGGTAATAAAAATTACGGGGCAAGAAAAGTTTTTTTTTCAGTATCCAATGGAACGGATCTTTGTAATAAGGAAAGGCTGGCCCACTAGCCAGCCACAGGCAAAATGTAACAAGCACAAATTATTCTTTAGTCAAACCCCGGCCAATAGCCTTCAGGACCCAATTTAGTACTCCAAAAGGTTTGATTCAGTCTAGTAGCCTGCCTATATCCTCTTTCCAAACCATCCCTGGATATCCGTTATTTTGTCCCCTTGGCTACTCCGCACATTACCATCTTTGGTAATATAAAATAGAAAAACTCTGGATGGTGTGTGAAAAATCATACTAAAATCAGACGATTTAAGCCTGTTGAAGACAACTGACATGAAACAAGCAACGAGGACACATTAGAGCAGTCCACTATCCGTGTGATACAAAGGTGGTTTATTACAAATAATGTAATCTTCTTTTGGGGAACCCATGTGGACCGAAGTAAAACTACGTGCTGATATGAATTAAAGGATGTTCTTCAGACAAAACTCCAGATACGCTGTCTTCGCTTTTCCTAATGAGTCTACACATTTGACAATTGATTGGGAAGTGCAAGTTTGTCTAAGATGTAGTCCAAACATCGCCAGGCCTCATTTTGTAAAAGGTGGTATTCTGACTTTTAAACATGTAGCGTCAATCTACCTTGATCGTTATCGACAGGAAAAACAGTCTTTGACACGTCAAAGCGACACGCGAAATGCCAAAGGATTCCTCTCCCAATCCATGCAGAGCCTTCAGTTTTTGATAATCATTCCCCTCCCCCATGCTACCTGAATCGGGTCATGAACTTCAATTAGAACATACGCACTACAAAACGAGCAACTGCTCAACAGTGAGAAGAGGGGCACTAGGAAAGCTGAAGACACCATCCCTGGCACACACAGCACAAGTTTTATAAAGGGGTGAACCGTGTGCGTGAAGTGGCAAAAAACAGCCAGTTTCCTAGGCATGGAATAATTATTTTGTATTTTGTCAATTTGCCAGGGACTAAGAGGCCGCAAGGCCGGATAAGGAAGGAATGTGTAATAATGATGTTGAGCGGAAGGCTATTGTATTTAAGCAGCGCATCATCCTGTTATGTTTAAAGGTACAGCCTGTCATATACATGGTATGTATATATATGGTTGTGCCATATGTTCCTTTGAGGCAAGACAATTTCTGAAAATCTAACGAAGGGTGCCTAAAAATAAACCCGATGAATTTCAGCTCAATGAAGACTGTGTACTCTTTGAGAAAAACCATATTCTAGGATTTCAACTGCAGATCAAAAGATTCCGAGTCAAGTTTTGAACTGCATCTGAAATTCTGAAATCAGTCATCTGGGACACATTCTTACGTTCACTTGCACGCAGCTGTACAATGTCAGCACAGAACAAACAAATTATAGTCGGGCACGGGTGTGTCCGGTCAACGCTGGCACACTTCTATTGGCAAATTTCCAACATGCGCCTTTAGACCTATCATTAGAAATTGCCTTTCATTGTTTTCTTCAAAATGACAGCTTGCCAGAAAGACTAATTTCACACGACTTTAGTCCCATAACCATCATTAACCAAGAAAGCTTTTCAGCAACAATTGCATCAGTTACTTTTTGGATAGCCGCAAATGACAGACTATCCGTCCCAAGCTGAAGTGCACCCCCAATCGGCAAAAAGAAAGACAGGTGGTTAAAAGCGGGTTCTCGCACACGTTCTGCTTGTGTGCAAAGACCATACATGCTGGAAGAAATTAGTTACGCCTACTCGGCGAGCTCTGTGTCAAATGCGCATATGGCGCGCCTATGCGGTATGTATAAACACGCCCTCTTTTGTTCCGCTTGGTGCAGATACCTTCCATTATATGGAATCTATGAAATAGTGCTTTGATTCCTCTCATAAACCTCAGCAACTCACCAGAAGCCACTCCAGCCTTGGTCACCAAGACTCTGTCATCCTCAACAGTAAAAGAGTCAGAGACAGTGAGGCCACCATCCCCTATTTACATGGATATTAAACATAACAACTGGACAGCATGCGTGTCTCAATTTTCCCAATCTGCCAGGAGCAGAAGCATCTCTCTCATCAGTTGGAAAGAGGCTTGCATTCATAGTCGTTCATGAACCAGCCAAGTGCAGTTTCCAAAGAAGGCGCCTCCACTGATAGGAAAATTATGCCCCCTCTTGGGTCCAAAAAGGGTAGATACTTTGTCTGGAGCTGGTAGGATCTCATAGGCTACAATTTTGTAGCCAACTGTTAATAAATGACAGTCAACTAGGATGGTGTCTTGGATGGATACAAAAATACACACTGAACAGCATGGTGAACTTATAAGGGTGTCCTTGATTCTTCTAAACTAAGACAACACCTTGCCAGGAGCCACTAGGACCGGGTTGGACTAGTCTTGGTCAGAATTTATTCTGGCGTGTCACAGTTTAGGCATTTGGCGGCACTCTGCTGTCTTCCATTTTCTCTTCAGACTCAGTCTTTACGGCTAACTAGTTCAGCTGTCCGAGGCAAAGTTGGTGGACAGAGGGATGATGCTGTAGTCGTAGCCCTTGTCCATGGCGCTGGTGATCATTTTGGCGGCGTGGGTCAGCTGCATGGCCGCATCGGGGTGGGCAGTCCAGGGCAGGATGGTACACTCCCTCTCCAGCATCATGGACATGCCAGACAGCAGCTCTGTCATTCCCAGGGCTAGGGCCGCACGCCGCAGTCGGTTCAACTCCTGTCAGATGAGATCGAGGCCAGCTTACTTGTGAGATACAATCAGAAAACAGGGTCCAGGGGACTGCTATATGGAATGGAGGGGGGGGGTTTGCTGGCATCCTTTGCACGTATCGATTCTTGCTCCCACGCCTAAGCCTGACCTTCCTAATGTCCCATGTCAGCATCTGATCACTTTTCTGAATCACGAGAGCTGGAATTCCTTTAAAGATCCTACGAGCTGTCAAGGGTAACAGCCTTATTCAGATGTGTGTCTGGGTGTCTTTCTGACACATTTTAGGTAGTTTGGGACACCTTGTTTTGATACAGAAATGCATGTAAAAGTGTTGATCCAAAGCACCTTGGATGCCTTCTCCTTCACGTTCAGCCAAATATTGACACCCCGGTTTGGAAAGCTGGTCAAAAACTGTTATGGAATATTGTCAGTATTATTCTAGGACAATTTATTTTTTATCTCCTGAGGAAAAGAATTGAGCCTTTTTTGCATGTACACTGAAAATTTGTTCAAGAATCACAATTGCCGAGTATCAGGACGACTATCCTGAACAGTAAGAGTGGGGAATTGCCGCTCCATGTGTGCCCCACCGGAGGGGATATGGCGAATCATAAGGCAACGATCCCCAGGTCTGATGTTGGGTGGCTGGGACTGGGACAGATAGGCGCAACAACTTACAAGTAAGCCAGACTATAATATGCTGGATATATCTGTGTAATGTTGCAGAACGGTATGCGCTCTCAACCCGACCACTCACGTACAAACACAGCATTGGAGAAATGCCAAATGACGGCAGAAATTACCTTGTAGAAAACTTGCGTCTTTTCAGGCAACTTTCTCGCATAACGCAGAATCTTTTGAATGTCAGCCTAGATGTGAAGGAAGGCCAAAAAAAACAAAACATCAAATCAACAACATATTGATCGTGTATTATTCATAAACTATGAATGTCAGCATCAAAAACAACAAGTGAGGAGAAATACTCAAGAGCCTATAATTCTTGTGAAGACTTGGTTTATGACTCTGTTGGGTACAAGCCTCACTACGTTATGAGGACAACTTACTTGCAGTGAAGTAGGTTTGATCCACACAACAGGATTCTGGGAGTAACTCCTTTTCTCTTGCAGGCGAACTGGGAAGGGACTCTTGGTGCTGGCGGAATCTTCTCCATAAGGATCGTTGGCAAATGCTGCTTATGGCAAAAAAGTGAACTAGTTTTATTTTAGAGAAAGAAAACACACGAACCCTTCAGTGTGTGTCATACCAATGGCCTACCAAAGATTCCCCAACCAACCATATGTTAAAATAAGTGATGGTGTCTTGATACAAGTTCTGAGCTCCTTCAAAATCCACTCGGAGGTATTGAGGAAAGCAGAATCCTTCCATGATATATAATTCTACATTGGGGGGGCCTAGATTCCCTCTGAAAGCTTAGAACTTGTGTACAAAGAATGTGCCACTCTTTTCAGGAACTTTGAACGATTGAGGAGAATGCTTACGGAATTAAAATTGAAGGAAATCTTCAGATTCAACAATACTACATCAATGTGTAGAAATAAAAAAGGCAGAGTGTAAAGATGCACTTATTTGACACATGAACTCATGTC